TGTTGGTATGGGGCTGCAGAATATTATGACCACCAGGGTGCCCAGGTGGTCAGAATATTATGGCGGATAGGTGTATCATGCCTATATCAAAACAAAGAAAATTATTATAATTATGTATTCTTTTATTCTGTTTTATAGGAAATACATGCATATGTTTACAGCAGGAGGCATGACAGTTTAGCACAGGGCTTGACACCAACTTTTTCCCCACCTTCCCAAAACGTACAAAGCACTAACATCTTTCAACAGTAGCCGATTATCTCAAAATGAAAAATTAATCAGTCTATCACTAATTATAAATTACGATACATGATCATTTATTTCAATTTATTTTGCAAAACAACTGATAGGCTTTGTTTTATGAAAGCCAAGTATGTTCGATGAACTTTATTTAAAAAAAAAAAAAAGAAAAAACCAATTGAAGATTCGAAACTGTTGTTGCTGTGTTAAAAATAGTGATGTCACTTACATTAGGTTAGAACAGAGCTGAGAACAAAGAAAAGTCTTACTTACAGGCTGCACCAAAGTATAAAGAGTTCTGCACTGACTGAACAGTGAACTGGAACACGGATACTCCGCTTTAACATTGCAACGATAAACAATTGTGATTCTATTACACCATTAAGCATTCTCCTGGCGTTGACTCGTTTTGTTCAGCCTTGTAAAGGACAACAGAACACAGCGTTTATACTTTCGACCCATATCGGGTCAATCCCGCCTTGTGTAAAAACTACGGTAAGCTTATCTAATAGAGTTAAGCTAATAAAGTAACGCGTCAGTATTGTTTTAAAGCGACGAAACATCCAAATGCTGGAGTTTGAATTGAGTGTTAGCTTCATTAAACACACAACAACTCAGCTGTACACGTGTACAAACACACTGAGCTCGAGCTCCAGAAACATAAGAACATGGAGAGAGTGACGTGGACAGTTTTACAAAACTCTACAGGAAATAAGCAACAGTGAATTATATGTGTCTCTCTATTGAGATAAAAGAACAAACAGCTTCACTACTAACCTGCTAGCTGGACTAGCTACGTCTCTGCACACCCATGAATAAACCACCGACCTACTTTGATGACGTCTGTAATGCCACGTCATAGATCTACACAGTATAGATGCCGCATCCGGTTTGAGCTTGAGAAAGGCGTCTCTACCGCCGCCATCTTGCGGCGGGTGGTGGCCTGTTCAGATCATTGACAGCATATATATGGTTTAACCGCTGTATCATGTTACTAAATCCTACACACTGGTCCTTTAAGTGCTGATTTGGGATGTTCTTACATAACAAAATAAATGCTTATGTTATTTTACAACATTTTACTGTTACGAAGGTACTACTGAATTTGATATATCACAATAATACAATCTTTATTTTAAGCAAAATTAAGGTTATTAATTTACATATCAGTATCAGTGTGCTAAAACTTATATTTATCATTCTTTCTCTAGATTTATGATATTACAGCTAGTTGTACAAAACTGTAAGATTGGTTTATCAAACTGTAACTGTTACACTCTGCACAACCCTGATACACTGCATATATATTTTTGTAAATAATTAAATTGATTTGAATTGAATTGCATTGAATTGAATTGAATTGAATGTGTGACCTTGAATGTGAATGAGCAAAATGTGAATATCCCAACCAAAAATGTAATTAAAACAAAATTGTGAAGCCTGTCAATAATGCAATTAATCATTTAACTTTGTGTTTGTTGTAAGAGGACTGTCTTTTTTATTTTGAAAATAATTAACAAAATCATATAATGACCATTTTACAGCAGCAGTAACACTTATTACATAGGGTAAGTTAATCTTTAATATTAGGCTATAGAACTGTTACTGTTACTATCTATATTAGATAAAGTATAACACCAGAATTTTTCATTTAACCAGGTATCTTGTATCAAAGATTTAAGTCTAGCATTGTTACAAAGAAAAATGCTTGAAAATCGGGTGAAAATTTAAGCGGTAGAGAATTCACATTTTACAGAGAAAAATGCATTAATAAAAGTTTATTTTTTGTCAACATTTTACATTCATACATTCCAGCAATTGTCACTGGTGCTAAGGGCTATGCAAGTTTCACTGATGGTTTCAATAGTGCCACCAACTTTAGAAAAAAAACTCACAGAAATTCATTCTGCTAAGTGTACAATCTCATTCATGAAAAGAAATAACAGGATAATGAACTAAATTATAAAACTTGTATCATAAAAAATGAACTGCAGTAAAAATCTGATAAATATATATTCAGTAGTGTGAAATATTCATATCCATTAAGTTGAATGACCTATCCATTATTTCTTAAGATGTTATAAAATGAGCACATTTATAGATAACATAGATAAATTCATGACATTTACCTTATCAACATTTGTACGTCCATGGCTTTATTTTAAAAAACAAACAGAAACGTTTTGGTACATTTTCATCCTTTCAGATCTCTAGATCGTTTACAGCACTTTTGGTCAAATTTGAACAATCTAAGAGCATTGAAATGTTCTTTTAGTTTTATATTCAAACATAAACAAACAGACTAAAGATGGAATTTGGACCAGGTTGGATTGTATTGACGTTTCTGATTTCCCCTTACATTTTTGTTTTACAAAGTATTAAATGTAAATGTATGTTAAATTTTATATTATGCATTAAAGTTGAGCACAGAAGACTGTCACCATGAGAAGAACAATTAAATTTTTAGTACTGTTTATTTTTTATACTATGGTATAATTTGCACTTGCTACTTTATACTTAACAAATATAAATGTGTCCATCCCATTCTTCTAAGAAAACCCAATTTCCCATAGCAATTGAAAAGGTAAATAACATCAATTCTCAATTAAAAGTAAAAAATAATTTTTGCGAATACCAGTAGAAGCACTAGGAGGAGCCAGAGGAACCTAATTTCTCCACAGATAAGGATCAGTCAGGATATAGTGAAAATCTCAGTAAATATGACAGAAAGTTCTTTTTTAAGTTACCTACTGTAGCTTTAATATTGCTTAAAAAACTCTTTCAATGGAATTAGGGCTGTGAAAATTGACAAACGGACATGATACTGAAGTAAAACAGCAGACTGGGACAAAGGAAGGCTTCTCATTAAAATATGATTGAATATACTTAGAAAACAGGGGAAATAAAGAAATAAAGACCTGTCTTTGATATAATTCTGTTTCTAATAAAGGTAAAGGAAGTTGGGGTAAATACAGGATTTGGCCACTATTTTTACAATAAGGTTTGCTTAAGGTGGTGGTTTGTCATGACTAAATCGTGGTTGGGCTGCGCACACACACACCATACACACAGAGGGGCTGACAAATGTTTAACATTTTTTCAATTTTGAGTTCTGTTCCTGTAAATTATGCGACAAATTTTACTCTTCAGGCTGATAAAAAATATTCAGTGTGAGGGAGAAGAATTAGTTGTTGGTTGCTCACAACTGGTTGACATTTACAAACTGTAAGAAGGGGTAGATACAGCTTTGTTGGGAACCCCTCACTGTGGCACTGATCCAAACCAGAAAAATTTAAATGTGGCCACAGCCTGGACTATCTTTACAAATGTATCTTTCCTGACACAATGTCTTCATATAGAGCTGCAGTCAGGAGGACATAGTCCTTCTGAGAGACGTCCAAGAAATACAGAGGATCCTTAGTGATGTCTGGATTAAACCCCTCCTGAACCAGCTTCACCTTCTGCTGCTTGAATGTCTCGGTCACATCTAGAGAGGTCTGAACACACAGGCGGCGATACAGATGAACAAAAGAACTTTAAAAATACGTACTGACAGTAATGTGGTAGGTAGGTAAGTCAAGTCATGCAGATATGACTTACCTGTACTCTGAGAAACCACGGCCAGGCATATGCAGGAAGTGTTTTCACTAAATGGTTGTAGAGTTTTGTTCCATTTAACTGGTGATCCTGTTTTAAGACAACAGCAGCCATACCTGCTCGACCTTCATATCCTGCATACACAGATTGGAAAAGGTCACTATGTCACACTGAGTGAAAAATTAACCACATATGACTACAGAGGCCCTGAGGTGCAACATGTAATACAGTTACAAATTGAAAGGAGCTGCAGGTTCTGGAAGTATTTACCCCCACTGTAAAAGAGTGGGTCTCAACACAGTAACACTGGAGTCTGTACCCTACAACATGCATCTTTGCTTCTGAGAAACCAGGTTTTGGATGGATTGCTCTATATACTGAAAATTTGATCCCAGGTTGTAAAAAAATACCAACAGTTTGGGTCCCAAAGCTTCAATCCAACAACCCAAAGTCAGTCTTTTTACTCAGCAATCAACTTTCTTTCTTGGCTCTAATTGGTTGTTTTGTTCAGGCCCCGTGGATTCTTGCAAATACCCTTAGGAGCACTAGGAGGAGCCAGGGGAACCTGATTTATTCACAGATTATCTGGGAAGGGCATAAATAACGCTCCAAAGTCAGGCTAATTTTGGTAATGGAAAAACTGGAATGGCTGTTTTTAAAGGGAACCCTTGACCTCTTACCTCAAGATATCAGAATGAAAAAGGGTTCTGCCCCTCTTGTGCAGTCTGACCTGGTTGTGTCTGAAAGGGCCATAACACTTAGATTTCACAAACCTGGTATAGTGACTCCATAGATGTTGGCCTCCTGGATAAAATCAACAAGACCTAAAACCTCGGACACCTCTGTGGTAGAAACATTCTCTCCTTTCCACCTGTAAGATAAAAGCTGCAGTAAGTACACATCCAGTAGTTATAAAGAACAACATGAAATGAAATGAATGATAATTTATTTGGAGGCTCTTACAACCTGGCTAATTTAAGTTCAAAATTCACTCTCTTTTAGCTGTTTTGGACTACTTTGCTCATTCACATTCTTTGGCCTCGAGTCTCATTCCCAGGCCATCAAACACAGAATATTTGAAATGCCACTTTGTTTGTTTTCATCAGAATCAGAATCAGACATACTTTAATAATCCCAGAGGGAAGATTACTTTCGTTAGATACTCCATATGTAATAGACATACCTATATTAAGAATATATATACAGTATAATTTAAAGTCACACTTTCAAATATGCAAAAATGGCAAGTGTAAAGTGGTCGCAGGCTTCCTCTTCACC